AGCACTGGGACTTGATCAACAGCCGATACCGCACCGTGACGTCACAAATGGATGCCTCTAGTAAAGCACATTTAAATGAAAATTACACTTAATTAAAAAAAACATAATTTATTAAACAGTTTGTAATAATGTCACGTTTAAAGTACTTTCAGAAGTTTAAATTCGGAATATCACCAAACTTTTCCTTTAAATGGTTGATTCATGGTTTTATTATCAATTCGTACAATCTGGTCTTATTTTGTTCCTACTTCACTCATAGTGACACAAGCCAATAGAGAGTCTAGCTGGTCCGAGCAGCCATTCTGTGTCAGTGTGCAAACCACTGTGTTAAATCAAACCTTGTGTTCTAGAATATCACCACTATCAGAGTGAGCCTCACCGACGTCAATGACAACAGTCCGAAGTTCAACGCCAGCAGCTACCACAGCAGCATCCTGCAGAAAGACGCAGAGAAGGGGAAGCTGCTGCTGACGCTTAGCGCCTCGGATCCCGACGCCGGGAACAACGCGCTCATCACCTACAGGTTCGCTAAAATCTTTATGTTCACTAAATACCACATCTGTAGGCCAACGGTAAGTATGGAATTATGGTGAATCCAAAAAATAAAAAACAATCCACTGGAATTTGTTTCCAAATTTGAAGACGTTTCGCTTTCCATCCAGGAAGCTTTTTTAATTGAAAATGTCAGAAACAGCGTTGAGTTCGTTTTTGTTTGGTTTTTGTTTAGAAAACATGCAAAATGAAACTGACGAACGGGTCCACTCCTTTGAAACCCCCATTACAGGAGAGCAGAAGACCAACAATTCCCTTTAACGACCCCCCTTTCAGAGAAATAGACAGGTATGGGGCATTGCAGGCTAAAAAAAAATGACTAAACGACCTTCATTCCAAAGGGGTGGACCCATTTGTCCGTTTCAATTTGCATGTTTTGTAAACAAAAACAGGGCTTTGTTGGGCTACTGTATAAAACCTCAAACTCAACACTATTTTTTGACATTTTGAATTGAAAAAACTTCCTGGATCAGAAGAGAAACGTCTTCAAACTTGGAAAAAAAAGTCCAGTGGATTATTTTTTAACTTTTTTGGAATGATTTGAACTGGATGACTGAAAATGTTGACCAGCGAAATATGGTGAAGTACATGTAAAGCGCTCTTAGTTTGATAAATAAATAAACTAAAAATATACCTTTGTCTAGCTTTTTATCCCCCTCTCTTGTAATACCCCTCAAATAAAGTCCAACTGATTTGCTTCAGAAATGCTAAATCAGCAAACAGAATCCATCTGTGTGAAATGTGAATGAATTAAAAATTATAGATTTACCATTTATTTATTATTTTTTTGTCTTTCTTTTTCATTGTATTTATTTATTTATGTGATTAAAACATTAAGTTACTATTATATTGTAAAATTCTGCATTAAATAATTTATTGAACAATTAAATTAATAAAAAATCATTTAAAAGATTTATTAAATTATTAAATGTCATTTTAAGAAATAAATCTAATTAAAAGTGAATGTAATTAGTTTATATGTAAAAATAAACACAGAAAAGTTATCATATGTATTTTTGGGGTTTCAGTATGTTGTATTTCTATTGTTTTCAAATGTATGGGAGCCTCTGTGTTAGAGACTGAGGGGCAGAGTGATAAAGCTGCTAAAATTTAATACAGACAAATTAAATCAACACCAAATTAATCATCTTTCCCAAATTTTTGTCTGCTCAAATTTCTATCCAATCAGAATGAGATTTACGGAGGACGAAAGCTGACATCATTTAAAATAAAAGTTGAAACATATAGATTTTATATTATTTACCCTTTGTTTTCCATATTCATATTTTTAATATTGCATTTTTCATCAAATAATTGATAGATTATCTCCTTTTTTTTCCTTTTTCGATCATAATGCAGGATGAGCTTTTGCTGCGTAGCACAGAAAACCTGTTAGAGACATGAAAGCTAAATACCTCACTGCAACCAAACATGGTTTAGAAAAAGCAATGTGTCATCAAAGATAAAAACACTTTATATTTTAACATATGTATGTAAAAACATTCAGATAATTATGTTCTGTCATTTTCACAGCTCCGTATTACTTTGTGTTTCTTTGTCACATAGCAGCTAAATAGGCCCTCTCCAAGGTCCTGAATAAAATTTTCACTTTCTTATTTAAAACATGTTCTAATCAAGAGCCTTTTCTTTTTTTGGGATTCCAGATTTTCTGAAGGAAATTCCAAATATTTGGCTCTAAACAGCGAAACAGGGGAAGTGACACTGACCTCTGACCTTTCTGATGTGACTGAAGACACCAGATTGCTGCTGACCGCTGAGGCCACGGATCATGGCACTCCTCCGCTCAGCGCCACGGGTTAGCACTGTTGCTCTTGCTTGGATTTTTTTTTTGATGAATGAGGGCATAGCTGCTGAGCCCTACAGCAAATCTTAAATTATCTCATCCTCACGCTCTGCATGAACACCATCTTCCAGGTCAGGAATTTGATGTTTATTGCAGGAGAGGATTACAGACCCAATCCACTTGCAGGGTGTTTAAGTCCTATCAGTAGCTTTTCCTGCAGAGTGGATCTCCACTTTAGGGTTCTTTAGCTCAGCAAAACGCTGAAAACTTGTATTGTCAAGCTAACTTAAGGTCGTTTACAGTGAATTAGAACATATTTCATTTTGTTCTCACATGGTAAATACATCCTCTGCGTTTAAACCTCCTTATACTGTCTGCTTGAACCCCAGTCGGCCTCAACAGATGGCCGCTCAAACTGAGCCTCGTTCTGCTGTTAAAGGTACACTATGCAACCGGTGTTGATTTTCCAGTGAGGCTCCCCCCAGAGGGCGAAAGTAAAT